CACCCTTAGATTTGAGGAGGAGTTCGTCGGATGACATAATCTTGGTCGTGGTCAACGTGAGAAACGTCCTCCTTCGTGGCATCATCATTATGTTACTAATACAATCATCACTGAAAATATAGACCCCACTCCATCAACTGTCATCCCTCCTCAATCTCGTTCTTTAGGTAAACCTTTCCCTATAACTTCTCATGTTGAATATAATAGTTTTTCTCTGAGACACAGGTGTTTTTTTATGGCGATCACTAAGGGAAAGGAACTGTCTTCGTTCAAAGAGGCGGTTAAAGATGTTAGTTGGCGTAAGGCGATGCAAGATGAGATTGACGCTTTAGAGCGTAATGGCACATGGACCGTTGAGGATCTTCCTCCCGGCAAGAAGGCGTTTGGCAGTGGTTGGGTGTATAAAATCAAGTATATTGACAAGTTGAAGGTGGAACGTCTTAAGGCTCGTTTGGTTGTTCATGGCAATTGACAAGTTGCCGGTGTTGATTATAATGAGACGTTTGCTCCTGTTGCAAAGATGGGAACGATACGTCTTTTTCTAGCTGTTGTTGTGTCTTTGAATTGGGAGTTACATCAGATGGACGTTCATCATGCGTTTCTTCATGGTGATTTGGATGAAGAAGTATATATGCAGTTTCCTCCAGGGTACGGCACTCCGACACCTTGCAAAGTTTGCAGGTTACGGAAGTTTATATGGCTTGAAACAGGCCCCGAGGCAGTGGTTTTCGAAGTTGTCTAGTGCTCTGCGAGATTTTGGGTTTAAAAACTCATATATATGCTGATTTCTCTCTATTTAGCTATGTTCAAGGCAGTGTCTCTAAGCATGTTCCTGTCTATGTCGATAATTTGATTATTGTAGGGTCCTCTCATGATGCAATTGTTCGGTTTAAGGCTTATTTGTGCAAATGCTTCTATATGAAGGATTTAGGTGCGCTTAAGTATTTTTTAGGCATTGAGGTTGCTCGTAGTCTGGAGGGTTTTTTTTTTTTCTCAACGAAAGTACGCTTTGGATATCTTGACTGAGGCAAGTATGTTGGGTTGTAAACCCATTGATACTCCGATGGAGCAAAATCATCGACTTTCACATGCTTCGGGTGAGCCGTTTGCTCAGCCGGATCAGTATCGTCGGTTGGTTGGACGATTGGTTTATTTGTCAATTACTCAGCCATTAGGGATGTCAGTGGGGCGGGTCAAGTAGGAGACTCACCCCATCTCCGCCCCAGTGGGGCGGGGATGGGTCCCAATTTGGTGGGTGGTGGGGCGGGGATGGAGATGAAAACCATACCCGCCATGGGTGATAGGGCGGGGGTGGATTTTAGGTTGTACCCGCCCCATTTTGTACCCACCCCATACCCACATCTATATATTTAAAAAAAAAATTGTATACTTTTATACTATTTTATATTAAAAAATTATGTAAAATAAAGTAGTAAATAACTAAATATAATATGTTGTAATAAACTTAATATTAACAATGATTTTTGTTTTTTTTATTGTAATCTACATTAGTATATTACGTAATATTGTTGTATTTAGGAGGCGGGGATTAGGTGGGGTGGATATCCAAGTGGGGGGTGGGGCGGGGATGGTTTTGGAATTTGTACCCATTGGGACGGGGATGAGGATGAATTTTGGACCCGCCACGGGGATGGGGATGGGAAATCCAACATCCGCCCTGCCCCGCCCCATTGGCATCCCTATCAGCCATAGTTGAGTTATTCGGTGCATATTTTGGCTTAGTTTTTGAGTGATCCGCAGGTTTCTCATTGGGATGCGGCTATTCATGTCTTGCGCTATCTTAAGGGTAGTCCGGGATAAGGCATCTTGTTACGGCCTATGAAAGATTTACGGTTGACATCCTTTTGTGATAGTGATTGGGCAGCATGTCCTTTGACTCGGCATTCTTTGACAGATTATCTTGTTTTCTTAGGTCGTTCGCCTGTTTCTTGAAAGACTAAGAAACAACCTATCGTATCTCGCTCAGCTCTTCAGCCGAAACAAAATATTGTTCTATGACAGTTGCTACTTGTGAGTTGAAGTGGGTTAAAGCATTGTTGCTTTCTCTTAGAGTTATTCATTTGAAGTCTATGCAGTTGTTTTGTGACAATCAGTCGGCCTTGCATATATTTAAAAATCCGGTGTTTCATGATCGTATGAAGCATATTGAGGTACATTGTCATTTTGTTCATGATGAGTTGTTAAAGAGTAATATTTCTACCTCCTATGTTTCGATGACTAATCAGTTGGCAAATATTCTTACGAAGGCTCTTGGATGACATCAGTTAGGGTTTTTGTTGCACAAGTTGGGTATTCGTGATCTACATGCTCCAACTTGAGGGGGAGTATTAGAAGTCGATTGGTTTTATATATGTTAATATTGTATATTTGTCAAGTTTATCTTGTTAGGAGTTTTAGGCAAGTTAGGTCTTATTTTGTATTGGGTATATATATGTCGTTATTATCAATACAAAAGCTAAGCCGTTTTCTCCAACCTTTCTCTACTTTAACACAGATAATCAAATTAACACCTCTAAATATGAAAGCCTATGTACCAAGCCCCAGCCTTCAAGCGTCTGTACCAAGCCTGGATCTATGAAACACATGTGAAAGGCTGACTTTTATATTATATAGAAAGTCTAATCCAAATTTCTTCATAACAACTTCTATCGTAGATTGTCTTTAGAAACTTTTTTTCATTTCTAGTGACCCTTGGCGCTTCTTGAATCTTGATTCTCATCAAAAGGTTACAAAGCCTACAATATCAAGGAATATCGACCACACCATTTGAAAGAGACAAAATATTACTGTCATGACCGCAACATCTGTAGTCCAGCGCTGCTATGCCTAGTGCTGCGATGCATGAAATATTTATTTAAAAAAAAAAAAAGGCAAAAGAACAAATAAATACATACTTTGAGACTTTGAGTTATGGCTTATTTATTTATTTCTTTAAAAAAAAAATTAAAAAAAAAAAAAAAAAAAACAAAACAAAACAAAAAAAAAAAAAAAAGATTTTAACAGTTTGACTACTTACAATGATTCATTTTTAAGAGATTACTATCATGTGAGATTTTTTGGATTCCTGTTGATGTATTTTTCATACTATCAAAATTTTGATAGTTCATACTAATATAGAACAAATGGTTGGAGTTCAATTTTGACTGTTAATACATGTAATTGGGACTTATAGTGTACAATTTGATCTATTACCAAACATGTCTGTATATGAAGTGAGGAAAAAAATTTCAATAATTTTACGTGGCTCATGCCGATGTGCTTGCTACATATGTCCATAAACAAGCAAAAGGAGAGTTTTATTGAGGAAATTACAAATTACAAATAATGGCTTACGTAAACCATAAGGGAATTTACATAATACTCCCAAAGAAAAAATAATAAGCCGATAGACTTAAAAAAAAAGTTAAAGTCCACAACCAAACGAGCCCCCCGTATAGCTATTCGAACGAAGGGGGCTAATTATTTCAAGCCATATTCTAACATTTATAATTTTTTTAAAAGAGTGAATGCCAATGAAATTAGTTGGTGAAAGTTTTAGAGGTTATACTCATAAAATGAGATCAAATTTCATTTGCATCACTATCGTTTATAACTCTCAATATATCAAAAAATGTATATTTTTTATATTTCTTAAAAAGCCTTAGAAATATGAATTATTTAAGACATCTAAAGTAAGGTAATGGGGCATCGATCTAATGTTGGGAATGTGCTTAATAGTATCGAAGAGCCAAAAATGATTTGTTATTAAATATTTCCTCCATTTTTTAATAGTTGCAACACATATTTTTTCACGGTATTTAAGAAAAGTGGGGTTTACATAGTTTAATACATTTTAAAATGGGGCGAGAAGTTGTTAGAAGTATAATTTAGTAGGTCATGTACTTTAAATAAGGGAAATAGTACAACCTTTTTTTAAAATAACTCTCTAATTATAATGTGTTGCAAGTATTGCGATATTTTCATTCTATATAAGTGTTACAAGTATTAAAAAACAAAAGAAGTATCAAGGTTTGCAGAGTATGTGGCTATACTCCTCAAACCTTAAAGACATCTAAGGTAGAGGAATGTGACATAATTGTAATTTGCCACGATAGGGTGTCTCGTGTGGCGCATGGACATCTCAATTATTTTTGAATAGACAAAAAGCTAAGTCTGCTACCTTTTTTATTTTTTATGTTTAAAATAAGTAGTGTGATGATTTACATCCTTTTTCTTTTATTAATAAATTAATAAGTATTGCAACTGTACTTTTAGGAATTAAACAAAAAGTAGTAGTTCACTTATATGATGTAGATTACTGATGATGATGTAGAATATAAAGGGTATTATAAGATTTAAGGATAACATACAATATATAAACTTAATTGTTTACATAAAATGATCTGTTTAAACATGATTATCTTGTATAACTCTGTGTTAGTTGGAGTTTGCCAAATGCAAAGATTCCTGTTTTTTTTTTCTTTGTCAACGAGCTAGGCTGGACGTGGGTGAATGATCATCAACTTATTTCCTAATCAATCATGTACTCATGAAATATCTCTCTGTCTTTCTCTCATAATCTCATATACTCCGTGTATCTCACTCTCTAGCATAATTGGTAGACTTTAATGGATCCTTTCGTAGGCAGTAATATTTTTATCTCCTTAATAAACAAAAAAAAAAAATATTTATCAAATATCAAAAATGTAAATTAATCAACAACTTTTTTTTTTAAAAAAAAAAGGGTCCCACGATTGTTGATTTATTTATAAATATTTCATGCGCGTTGATTGGACAAAATTGTTGATTTTTTACGGTTTTCCCACTTGATAAACAAATTTGAAGATAAACTTGGACTTTCTGTAATTGAGAAAATAGATGAAATGAGAATGAATCTATGATGTATACAACCATGAAGTAATATATATCAAATACTACCATGGTAATGCGATTTCACATTAAGGCTTTGCTTGGATTGGGGGTAATATTAATAAGGGGTTAATAAAAGTCAAACTTGAAAAAAACATAAATAATAGAGGTGTTGTTGTAGGAGGCATGGTGTTTACAAATGTAATAAAGTAATTGTGCCATGAGAAAAAGAGAGAGATGGAGGAATTATTATCTCATAATGAGGGTAATAGTTACCCACCCTCCCCCTAGTCACTACTACAAATCCCTTAGTTTCTGGACGCTGTTTGCTCGACACCAGGTAACAGGTTAGCAAAAAAAATTAAATTCCGTGTTTTTTCGACGCGTTTCTGCGTCTCAATTGGGTCTTGACACTTAAAAGCGTCGAACCTTAGTGCACGTGACTACAGTCCATCCTGGGACTTCAAAATTTTAGGAAATAATAAGCGGGCTAGCTAAATTAAAAAAATTAAAAAAAAAAACCACCCATACAGTGAGTATACCAAAAGTTAGACCGAAGAAATAAAAAAAACCCTTTAGTTCGCCTTCAAAACCCTAAATTTTCTATGCTCGCTTACGATTGACCTCATCTGATCTCCTAAACCACATTGTTGAATTTTCGTTCCTCTCTTCACTATTATCTTCAATTATCGGTAATCCCCTTGCTCTTGTCATCAATTTTCCGTAATCTCCTTGTTATAGGCATCAATTTCGTAGTTTTTTGTTGATATATCACTCAAATTAGGTTGCTTATGCTAAATCTTTGTTTATTCATTGCATGTTATGGGAATTCTTTTTGCTAATAGGATTTCGAAACGATCGATGCATAGAAGCCAAGAATATAAATCACAGGTCATGGTATTAGATACTTTTTTATATAATACTTGTTATTATTGATTGGTATGTGTTTTGCTTGATTATGTTTATTGAATTGTTGATTTTTTGTATTAATTTCGTGAAATTTTAATTTTATTTGGGGTTTGTGGGTTGAAACTTATTTATAGGTACTGATTCTTGAAAGGCAATTTGTGTTGAGAATGCAAATTGCTAATATCAGACAATGTTTTCCTCATTTTACAAAATGTTGAACTCTTAATTGATTTATCACCCTTCATCGATAACAACTTCCGCAAATTAGATTAAAGCTATTTGAAATTATAGTTTAGAAAATGAAAATAAAGGGGTTTTTTTTTCTGCAAAATAAACTTTATTAAATTGGAGAAATTTTTAGTGAAAATAAAACAAAGTAGAGCGGCAAGAAATTGATTAGGGTAAAGAAGATAAATACCCAGAATCTACCTGCTGCTTATACAATCTGCTGCTGCCTGCTGCTTTTTCTCTTTGATGCTTGCTGCTATCAGCCTGGTTTGTGCTGCTGCTGCTTGTTGTTCTTCGTGTTCTGCCTGCTGCTTTTTCTCTTTAATGCTTGCTGCTATCCTTTGTTTGTTTGTGGTTTTCTGCCTTCTGCTGGTCTGCTGCTAGTTGGTGTTTGTTGCTGCTGCTTGTTGGCTGGTGCTGCTTTAGTCTGGTGCGTTTATGCTGGTTGGTAGTTGCTGCCTTCTTCTTGCTCAGGCTGCTGCTGCTTGGTTCAGCTTTGCTGGATGGTGCTGTTACTCTGCTGCTGGGTCTCTTGGGTTCTGCTCCAGGCTGCTGCTTGTGCTTTCTGCCTGCTGCTTTTCCTGTTGTGCTGCTTTATAGTTTGTCTGTTGTGCTGCTTTATAGTTTGTCTGCTTGCTGTTGGTTCTCAAGGGCTGCTATTGTTGCTATTTTCTTTGCTGCCTGTGGTGTATAGATTACTTGCTACCTTGACTAGCTGTTGTTTCTTTCTTTGTTTTTTGGTGTTGTTTCTTTGTTGGTTGTTTATGTTAGTGAGAACAATAATCAAACAAATGTTTATGTTGAGAATGTTAGCCATATGTGAACAAGTAGATTACTAAAAATCGTACAAGTTTAACTTATGTAAAAAATATATATAAACTTAAGCCAATAGGCTAATATTTATGACATATCTTAAAATTTGAAGTTGTGTTTAATAGGTGACAGAGGAGGAGCTTGTCTAAAAATTGTTCTAGATTGTGATAGTTGCTGCACTTAGCAAGTTGGCCGAGGTAACTACCCAAATTCCTAAATTATTTTATATGTCAGATAATTGTATATTATATTTTCATGTCATATGTATGGTAGATAGCCCTCCCAAAATAATTTTACATAATTTATGATATTGATCATATATGAAAAATGTAAGTAATTAAGTTGTAGATTTTTAGTGAGGTAGTATATTATATATAATTCGTTATGTCTTATCTATGTGCTTATTGATTATATTACATTATTACATGTATGTATCTATTTTTTTGTGAATGATTCCATGTATTATTATGTTTGATCACTTTATTTGCATTTTGTCTCCAACCACATTGATAACATCATATAAAAGCTATAGAAGGGGAAACCTTGGTAAAGTATTTACTAACAGTGCTAAAAATCAACTAAGTGATGGAATATGTTGTTACACTCTTCTTAATTATAACATTTATAGTATTTATTACCAAATTATTGTTAGCTTATTATTGATACTCATTAATAATTATTAATTATTAAATTTTATTATGCATTTCACTGTAGATATGGATACTAGTTGGATTGATTTACCAAAAGGCAAATCTGCCTATTATGAGGGTTGCATGAAATTCTTAGAGATTGCTAAGGAGAATCTTATAGATGGAAAAACCAAATGCCCATGTAATAAGTGCAAGTTAAATAAATGGCATCTTTTAGAAGAAGTAGGAGGCCATATTTTATTTAACGGTTTTTATAAGAATTATAGAAAATGGATTTTCCATTGTGAGGGTGAAGGGAGTAATACCTTAAAGCCCCCTAGTGATCATGGGAAGGAAGTAGATCGAGATGATATGGATGGGCTACTAAGAGCGGCTTTCGGGGTTCACAATCCACAATCCACTAATGAATTCTAAGCCCCATAATCCAATGAAATGAATTTTGATGAGGAAGGTTCATATGACATGCATGAAGAGTTTGATTTTCATTGTGAGGTAGATGATGAAATGCCTTCAACTAACACTAATGAAGAAATGGAAAAGTATAAACGTCTCATGGAAGCTTATAACGAGGGTCTATATGAGGGTTGTACTACTTTCTCAAAGTTATCATTTCTCTTACATCTGTTTCACCTTAAGTGTATGTTTCATTGGTCTGCCGAGTCATTTAATAAATTGATTGAACATCTAAATGACGCATTCCCTCATATTAAAGAGTTTCCATCATCTTACTATGAAGGGATGAAAATAATCAAAAACTTGGGATTAGGATATGAAAAAATCCATGCATGTCCAAATGATTGCATGTTATTGGGGGGAATTTCCCGATGAAATTGAGTGTTATATTTGTCATACATCAAGGTGGAAAACTATGAAAGGAAAGGAGGATGACACAATTGAGAAAAGGAATGAATCAGTTAAGAAAGGTGAGCCAGCTAAAGTTATGCGATATTTTCCTCTTATACCTAGACTAAAGAGGCTTTACATGTCTTCTAAAACAGCAGAGGATATGAGATGGAATTTTAACCGTGAGAATGATAAGATCCTAAGGCACCCTGCAGATGGTGTTGCTTGGAAAAAATTTGATGAAAAATATAAGGAATTTTCCGCCGACCCTCGTAGTGTTAGATTGGGATTAGCTAGTGATGGTTTTAATCCATATCATCTAATGAATACTAACAACAGTACATGGCCGGTGGTTTTAATTCCTTACAATCTTCCACCATGGATCTGCATGAAGTCATTATCTTTCATTTTGTCCTTGATTATTCCGGGTAAATATGGTCCTGGTATTGATATTGATGTATACTTGCAACCATTAATACATGATTTGAAATTGTTGTGGAAAGGTGTAAATGCTTTTGATGCTTACAGTGGAAAATCCTTTAACATGCGAGCGGCCTTACACTCCACAATAAATGACTTCCCAGCATATGCTATGTTATCGGGATGGAGTACTAAAGGTTATAAAGCTTGGCCTTCTTGTGCTGATTCTACTTATTCATATAGATTTGGTGGTAAAATTGTCTTTCCTGGACATCGAAAATGGTTGCCAATTGATCATCCTTATCGTTGCGAAGCTCAACTATCGGAAATTAGCCTACTATGCACCTTCATTTGTTTATAGTTAGTTAATATATATATATAAATATTTGAAAAAACTTTTATTTTTTGTTTTATGATTGCTACTTCTCTGGGATGATGCTGCTAAACCTGCTGAACTTTTCATGCTCTGAGCTTCTGGTTGCTGGCCTGCTCTACCAGTTGGTTTGGTTTTCTTTTGGTGACTGCTTTAGGTGCTGGCTTCCTGGGGCTGCTCGTTCATTTCTGCTGTTGTGAAGCTGCCTTGTTTGCTGCTTGAGTCTGATTTGCTGCTGGCTTGCTGCCATCTTATTAGCAGGTTTCTGGTGTTGTTGTTGCTGGGGCTACTTCCTCCCTGCTTTTGCTACATAGCTTGTTGATGCTGCCTGTGCTCAGTTGATTTGTGTTAGCAGGCTGCTGGTTTTGTTGATGCTGCCTGCGCTCAGTTGCTTTGTGTTAGCAGGCTACTGGTTTTGTTGATGCTGCCTGTGCTCAGTTGCTTTGGGGCTGCTGTTTTTTTTTTTTTGGTACATACCTTGTTGCTGTAGCTTATATGGCTGTTTTGTAGGCAACTTTCCATCTTTTTTTTATCTGATTTTGTGTTTGGTGTTTTGGTTTGTTGTGTATGCGACTGTTTTCAAGCTTATTATTTTTTATCTGGGTTTTTATTTTGGTTTGTTGTCTTATTCTGCTGGTTTGGTTTATTTTGGTTTGATGTCTTGGGTGTTAGGTTGTTTGGCTCATTGGTATTTGTAATTTTTTGCTGCTTTGCAGCCCTCTTAATTGGTAATACAATATTATTTACCATATATATATAAAAAAAACAGTAAAAAAAAAAAATCTAGACGCTTTTTGTTGTCAAGATATTTTGCTTTAATCAGTTTCAAAATTTCCCGCCACTATTTTTGTGTGGACATTAAAAAGCGTCTCAATTGATTTTGAGACTGAAAACAAAGTCGACAATATAGACGGGAAAAAGCGTCTAGAAATTTGGTGGTGGCGCCTAAATACTGATATTCTCGACGGTTAATATATTTAATAAGACATTAATAAGCGTCGATATTTAAGACACTTAAAGGCGTCACAAAATATTGGGACACAAAATGGTGTCGAGATTTGTGACACGAAAAAGCGTCGCGAATTTCTCGACTCACTTTTTGACTTTTATTACCCTATTAATACATCTCCCCAATCCAAGCATACCCTAAGTGTCTTATTTTCTTCATTAATTTTCATTGTTGTTCATATATAGTAGTGGTATTGGGTAGAAGGAAAATTTACGAAGAAAAATGTAAATTTGGCTTGGGGATGATGAGAAGACATTAACATGGACATTATGATGTTATTTTTTAAAGCGCACCCAATTTCATGCATTCTCATTGTCATAATTTATTACTGGATGGCTACCAAATGGATTATTTTTTTTGATGCAAAACTACCAATGGATCAAATATAAATTTGTTCAATTTGAATATTCAACATTTGTTCAATTTGTAAAGTTCGTCATAAATTTACAAATTTTTACTAGAAGATTAAGCAAATAAATTTACCAAAATACTGCATAAAGTAACATTGCACTTAGGTAACTGGAAAATATACTCTGGCACCTTTGAAAGTGAGAGTATCGTCTAATTTTGAGAGAAGACTTATCTAACCTTTTGTTTATTTTTTCTTCAAATATATGAATTAAGAATTAGATTAAGAAAAACAACTAAACAATAAGAAGTGACTAGAGTTTGGATTGATAAAATTTACCAATTAAGTTAAAAGTGGGTATTCTGATATAGCAATGGTGCGTTTTGTATGTACTTTTGTTTAAAATCTTTTAATTGCTCATATGATGTACATGCTATGAAAGGGAAATTTTTATCCTCTCATTTGAAATGAATTATTGAAAATTGTACAAAAATGGCTTGTATTTTGTATGCACTGTTAGACACAATTTAATTTAATGAAGTTGAGTATTCAATGTACTTGCTAAGAAAATAAATTGGATTGTACTATTAGCTATGAAAGTTACAGTTACGTAATATACATGAGAATTAATGGTTGAGCACATGTTTAAAATTTATCGTTGGATGTTATGTGAGTGAGCATGGCTCTAGCATGGACGTCGGACGATGAACCGAACATGAGAGATCTATCTCAACCATCACGTGTTTGCGCCAATTATGGAAAGAAGAGTGAGTGATTGCTGGTTGTGATAAAAGATAGTTTCCGACAAATTTTCATATATACTACGAGTACATTAATTGTAAACTAAGTTTTTACTTAATAAGTTTTTATTTTTATTTTTTTTTGTTTGGTGTTTGGAGAATCATAAGAGAAGGTGATTAGAATCAATTCCAATATCTCATGGATCCGAGAAGAAAACTTTAAAGAGTTGAGCAATCTCTCACTCTCACTTAATAAGTTACTCCGTAATTTTTGTGTATGCAATACAAAGGCTTGTGACAATATGGATAAGCCTAGATAGGTTTGTATGCATTAAAAAAAAACATAAATATTTACTACTTTGTTCTTCAAATGTTACAACACATTTATATATACTAATGATTAATTCGAAGAACTAGCTTGCAATTTCTAAAAATATTTAAGCAACTAGATAACCATTGGAGCATGTACAATACATTAGCCAACTATTGGTGTTGTTGCTCCAAAAGTAAAACTTAATATTATGAAAATATTTACCAAGATGAATTTAATAAAACCCCACAAAACATTTAATTCGTAATTTATGAGTATCTTCAACGTACAAGCAAGATAAAACTATATATTGCTAGTGCTCACAAGGTATAATTTAGAATAAGTATTGGCGTATAAGATCTATTTGCTTTGAAAAAATAGGATGACTAAGTTGTAAATATTAACATGAGTATAAAGTATCATTAAATAGGTGAATAGTACCATTAAATGTTGTATTGGTATAAATATTTTTCTAATGGTACAAATATATAAATAGGGAAATTCTCTTTGGTAACACTGTATTTTTTAATTTTCTAAGTGGTAAATTGTAAAAATTCTTATTATCCTTGGTAAACTCTAATTTATTATAATTATCCAACGGTGATATTAATGATGTTTATATGCAATTATAAGCCTAACTATGGTTAAGTTTTATAATAATAATAAAAAAAAATTAAAAAAAACTACCCACTCCTCCACCACAACCCAGCCACCCCTTGCCCCTACCCCTCCACTGCCGGCTCCCGACCACCGGCGCCACTGGTGTCGAGGTTGGTGAAGAGAATAAGTGGTTTTTTAGGAAAAAAGAAAATCATTTATAAAATTATTTTACTGTTAAAAAATAAAATATTTAGTTGGTTGAATGTATCAAGTAAAGGTATTTTAGGAATTTTTAGTTTTTTATTTAAAATAAACATTAACCATGGTTAACCATTTACTAAATTGTTTCATTAATGTCACCATTGAATAAATTATACCTAATTAGAGTCCAAGGATAATAAGAATTTTCACAATTTACCACTAAGAAAATTAAAAAATACAGTATTACTAAAGAGAATTTCCCAAATAAATATGTAAATTGTACATCAAATATTATACCATTGTGAGATATAATAGTACTTCTAAGACAACCTATATTCTAATGGTATAATATACATGCATAATAGTACACAAAAAATACCACTATACCATAAAAAATACTTTTATGAATTGTCAATTGACTAGTTTACCCTCCTAAGTGATTCCAAAACACATAGGTGATATGCGCCAAGATGCACTCATATAATTACATTAGCAAGATAATAACATCACAATTTTTTGTATGCGGCCTGTTGTACCGTGCGGCAGGGGTTACTCGAGTTACTTGGTCAGGGGTTACTAGAGTTTCTCGGTCAGGGGTTACTCGAGTTTCCGGGGTTACTTGAGTTACTCGGTCAGGGGTTACTCAAGTTGTCGGGGTTACTCAAGTTACTCGGCCAGGGGTTACTTGAGTTACTCCTGACCGAGTAACCCCTCAAGTAACCCCTGACCGAGTAACCCCTCGAGTAATCTATGATCGAATCCCTCGAGTAACCCCTGACCGAGTAGCCCCTCAAGTAACCCCTGACTGAGTAACCCTCCAAGTAACCCCTAACTGAACCCTCAAGTAACCCCTGACCGAATTACTCGAGTAACCCCTGACCGAACTCCTTAAATTACTTCTAACCGAATAATTCGAGTAACCCCTGACTGAATAACATGAGTTACCCATGACCGAGTAATTCCTAACCGAGTAACTCGAGTAACCCCTGACCAAGTGAACCCCTCAAGTAACCCTTGATCAAGTGAACCCCTCGAGTAACCCCTCCGAACCCCTCAAGTAACCCCTGACCGAGTAACTCGAGTAACCTCTAATAAAATAACTCGGGTAACTCCTGCCACTAAACCTGGGCACGGCCCGGCACGGTGGTCGCCAGGCGGGCCATGGGCCGTGCCGCGTGCGAGCCAGCCAGAAAACAGGCACGGCACGGCATGAGCCCGCCGTGCTGGCCCGCTTTTTGGCACGTGGACGGCCTGCCAGGCACGGCCAGCATGCTGGCCTGGCCTGGCACGCCATTAACGGCTATACACGGCTAATAGAGCCGTTGCTCTTCTTCCCCTCTAACGGCCATTAACGGCTCTTTGCTCCCATTTTTTCTATAAATACCAAATTTCACTTCACTTCCAAATCACAATTCAATTCATCTCTTCTCTTAATCTCTAATTCTCTTAATCTCTTATATTCTCTAATTATTATTTATTAATATCGGAAAAAATTAAAAGTTCGTAATCGTAATTAGTGGAAAGCGTTGAACCACGGTTGTAAGATCTAACTAATCTTTATTATTGTTGTTATTATTATTGTTATAATTATTGTTATTAATTATTATTATTATTATTGTTATTGTTATAATTGTTGTTATTAATTATTATTATTGTTATTGTTATAATTGTTGTTATTAATTATTGTTGTTATTAATTATTATTGTTGTTATTATTAAAATTGTTAAGTTGTTAATTATGGCATCACCAAACATGAACAACCCATCATCCTCTAGGAAAGCCCAATTTTTCCGTGGTAATAGTTCTAGGGAATCACCTAATCGTATAACCCCCCCAATTCCGAGTCCGACTAATGACCCCGGAACCGACCCCCTAGGTTTTGAGCAATTTAGGCATGATGGTACTTCTGGTTTTCAACCCTATAACATGAATATGCCCGAATTACCACAAAACCAATTTCCACCACAAAACCAATTTCCACAATTCGGTCAATTCCCCCCTTTGACCCACAAAATTTTTATACTAGCCAAGGTAGCGAACAAAATAGCCTTTCCTCCGAGCCTACTACTCAACAACAAACCTCCGAATCTACAAACACGATCCGAAACACACAAGAGCAATGGTTAATCGAACAAGACATGGTAAATATTAAAAGCCGCAAAAGAGATGTATGGAATTATTTTTTGCTAAATAAAGAACAAATAAGAGCAAAATGTAAAGCATGTGGTAAAATATACTTGGCCACATCCAAGGCCGGGACGGAACACTTAATTAGACACTTTAAAAATTGTGTACAACCATCTAGTGATCCAATCCAGCCAAAAATTTCCCAATTCCATCCACACGGCTTTACCTACAACTATGAGAGGGATAAGGATGAACTAGGGAAAATGACAGTATACGCCGAACAACCTTTTCTTTTCTCCGAAAGTGACCCGTTTAACACTTACATTAATAAAGCACAACAACCCCAACATAAAAGAATCTCTAGGAAAACCATTCGTTCCGCCACCATGAAAAACTTCCTACAATACAAAATGCGGTTACAAGACGAATTGAGTAAACTTAATTGTAGAGTGTCTTTGACTGTCGATTCTTGGGATAGTGGTTATAAATATCACTATTTATGTGTGACTTGCCATTGGGTAGATGATCAATGGTTATTACAAAAACGAATAATCCATTTCAAAATGCTAGAATACCCCCACACCGGTATTAACATTGCTCGCCATTTAACGGAAGCTATAAATGAATACAACCTTAGAGAAAAAGTCATGTCTATGACATTTGACAATGCAACCTCAATGACATATACTGCTAATTTAGTGAAACAAAATTTAACCGATGTAATATTAGATGGTGACACACTT